GTAATCCATACTGGAGAGAAACCTTACAAATGTAATGAATGTGGCAAGGCCTTTAATCAATGCTCACAACTTACTGTGCACCAAATAATCTGTAGTGGGGAGAAACAATTTAAATGTGACACATGTGGGAAGGTCTTCAATAAAAAAGCAGTTCTTGTATGTCATCTGAGAATTCACACTGGAGAGAAACCTTCCAAATGTAATGAATGTGGCAAGTTCTTCAAACATAATTCACACCTTGCACAACATGAGGTAATCCATACTGGAGAGAAACCTTACAAATGTAATGAATGTGGCAAGGCCTTTAATCAACGCTCACACCTTACTGTACATCAAATAATCTGTAGTGGAGAGAAACGATTTAAATGTGATATATGTGGGAAGATCTTCAATAAAAAAGCAGTTCTTGTATGTCATCTGAGAATTCACACTGGAGAAAAACCTTACAAATGTAATGAATGTGGCAAGTTCTTTAAACATAATTCACACCTTGCACAGCATCAGAGAATTCATTCTGGAGAGAAACCTTACAAATGTAATGAATGTGGCAAGTTCTTCAAACATAATTCACACCTTGCACAACATGAGAGAATTCATTCTGGAGAGAAACCTTACAAATGTAATGAATGTGGCAAAGGCTTTAGTTACAAGTCATCCCTAGCAAATCACTGGAGAATTCATACTGGAGAGAAACCTTACAAGTGTAATGAATGTGGGAAAGCTTTTAGTTTGCGATCAACACTTATTAAGCATCAGGTAATCCATACTGGAGAGAAACCGTACAAATGTAATGAATGTGGCAAGGTATTCAGTCAACATTCAAGCCTTGCATGTCATCGGAGAATCCACACTGGAGAGAAACCGTACAAATGTAATGAATGTGGCAAGATGTTCAGTCAACATTCACATCTTGCATGTCATCGGAGAATTCATACTGGAGAGAAACCTTACAAATGTCATGAATGTGGCAAGGTATTCAGTCAACATTTATATCTTGCAAAGCATCAGAGAATTCATACTGGAGAGAAACCTTACAAATGTAATGAATGTGGCAAGGTATTCAGTCAACATTTATATCTTGCAAAACATCGGAGAATTCATACTGGTGAGAAACCTTACAAATGTAATGAATGTGGCAAGGTATTCAGTCAACATTCATATCTTGCAAAGCATCGGAGAATTCATACTGGAGAGAATCCTAACAAATGTAATACCTGTGGTAAGGTGTTCAGTAAAAATGCAAGCCTTGTACAACATTTACTAATTCATACTGAGAGAAACCTTACAAATGTAGTGAGTGTGGCAAAGCCTTTTCTTTACATTCAAGGCTTACTGACCATCAGTTAATCCATAGTGGAGAGAAACCTTATAAATATAATCAGTGTGGCAAGGGCTTCCATTACAAATCATCTGTAGGAAATCATTGGGGAATTCATACCAGAAAGCAACCTTACAACTATAGTGAATGTTGCAAGGTCTTTCCTTGCAATTCAAGCCTTGCACAACATCTGTTAATTCATACTAGTGAGGATCCTTACAAATGTTAAGGAGTGTGGCAAAGTCTTTTGTGAAAAGTAATACCTTGCATATCATCAAAGAGTTCATACTGGAGAGAAACCTTTCAAATGTACTGACCAGCATATTATTTTGTCAGCAATCACCTCTCAGTAGAGATCAGATAATCCCCTCTAGAGAAGACATATAAAGGTAATAAATGTGGCAAGGTCTTCTGGCATAATTAATATCTTGCACAACATTGGCTATTTAATACTTCACAGAAACCTTACAAACTCTGAGGGTAGGCAACTCTTCATTATGAATTTAAGCATTAACATCAGGGAAGCCATAGTAAAGCGCAATTGAATATAGTCAATGTACATGACACAATAATGTATATGACATAATAATGTATATGACAATGTATATGACAGACTTCTCCCAGGTCTCAAAATTCAAGGAAAACACTTTTATTGAAACCATATGAAGGTAAGGTACATGGTAAGGCTTTTACCCTTGCATCAATACTGTGGAACTTCAGAGGATTTACACTGGAGTGAAACCTCAGTAATGTGTGTAGTAAGTCTTCATGTCAAGCATTCATAATTCTGTTGTCACGAGAGGTTTTTATTCGATAAAAACCAGTCAAATGTAGTGAACCTGGAAAGTTCACTTACCAAAGATGTGTTCTCAAGATTCATCAGAGAATTTGTACTGGGAAGAACACTTACAAATGTGATGACAAGGTAAACTGTCTAACCAATTCTCACAATACAATCTATATCACAAAACTTATATGTGGAATAAATCTTGAATTCTTTAAGATTAGCCATTGATATTACATAGTGTAGAATAATTACAATACAAAGAAGTTAAAATTAATATCACATTGAAAGTGTGAGCATGTTTTTAATGGCCAATTATCTTGAGGTTGCAAAATATTTTATCATTTGAGATTTCTTGGAAAGGCTAGTTTCTTTGACTTTTAAACTGAAATGTGAAATTTGTTGATATTATGCATTCCTCACAGACCTTTCATGGTGTTTTGTAGGAAAGAATCAATTAGAGCAAAGAGTCTGCTTTATTAATTGAAAATCATTCCTCTCTGTGTTTCTGGAAAAAAACGATACTGCCTTTTAAAATTAAATATTGCCCAAATTAGAGAGTATCTGGAAGTTGCTGAGGATCATGTAAAACTGTGATGTCACTTGGCATGCTCATTGCATTCAGGACACTGTTCTTCACACAAAAGGCCCTGGTGGAACATACAAAGGAATGAAATACTAACCAACCACAAAGTACAAGAATCCAAGAACTTAGGAGACTTGGTTTTTTATTCGAAGATAGTAATAGTTGTCACGAACTGATTATGTGGTAGAAATAATGCAGAGGAAATGGTGGCCACCTCCTCCATTGAATGGCAGTAGCTGTTGTATGGCAAGATGAGAAATTATTCTTATTCTTGAAATTGAAGAGAAAATAGTTATCAGAGGAGATTTTAATCAAAAGAACCACAATAGCAAGTTTTTGCTCAGGAATCACATTTAACTGCTGGCATAACAGTTTCTACTATATTTCAAAGGTCTCATGTTTTAATTAATAACGTTTGTTTCATTTTTCATAACTATGAATGAATCACGTTCCTTCCACCAAAATAGTTTTATCCCTTAGTGGAAGGATATTTAATAAGGTACACTAACAAGTACAGTATTAGGTTTCTTCAACTGAAGGATCTTGGAAAATTTTTTCTGTGTTAGATTCAAAGTACAATTTTGAGAACATATAATCATGCCTTGTACTTGAGTTATTCTCTCCACACTCTGCCCTAGTATACTTAAATGGGCAAAATGAAAATCCCATAACAGTGTGGTTTTAGACTGACACCCTAAAGTCTGCATTACTGTTGATGAATATGTTCCATAATGTACTATATTATAATTTTTTCTAAATACCTTTCCCTTGTTTGTGGAATGGAACTTAATTTACATAAAATGAAAACAAGTATAGTTAGGTTATGGAAAATATTATAAAATAAAATGTATCGGGAAAAGTGAGATCTGTTTTTTGTCCTTAGGTGCTCAGTGAAATCATTTGAAATGATTGAAGTTCATGAGTTTTTTCTTAAGAATGGACATACTTAATGGGGTTTTTGTTTTGTGCATTAATTACCAACGTCATATATTCATGCCCATCACATTATTAGTAATTTGTACTTGTGACCACCCCACTGGAACTGGATTGATCACGACCCAAAGTTTGGTTCCTCTGTCAGGAAGTATTATGTGTTTCTTATAAGACTCTCTGCTGAAAGCAAGGTAGACTTTCTACACTGGTCCACAAATAGCTTGAGAGAGTAGGGAAAGATGACTGGCTTGTGTTATGGTAGTGACCATATAGGGCTCAACTGTGGGTACATAGATGTGCTTTGAACAAGCTGCTGCCAAAGAAGGGACCACTTTTGGCTTTATTGTCAGCTTATCATGGTGGGCAGAGTAGGAAGAGGTACTGGTGAGGCTTAAAAAGTGTAAATACTCAGACATCAAAAAATAGATTCTTCAGTACAACTGTGAATGCTATTCTTGCTACTCCTGTTATCTTTTTCATGCTCATAGTCTACCACATTTCTATTCCTGCTACTCACATAGGTCCCATTCTGCAATTTGATTGCTGAATATGCTTCTGAAATAGTGTTGAGGTAAGTTGCATAATATATTTTATGGTAGTTTAGCAAAAATTAGTGTGTGAAAATGCTTATTACATAATAAGTATAATTAAATAATTTTATTGTAATAGCATTTTCCCAAAGGCTAATAAGAATATCAGTTTCACATTATGGTGCTTATATATTACACAGCTCATTTTCACCTATAGAAAAAAATATTTTGTTCATGTATATTAATTTTTCTGTCTTTTTCTTCTATACATTGTCTTCTAGATTATATATTTAATGTAGATTTCCATGTGTTATTTCAGTGAAAAATATGGGGGATACATAAATGAAGCCTTTGTTTGAAGACGAAATTTTGTGACATTAAATTGCATGTAAGTCAATGGCAGGTAGAAACTAGGTGCTCTACAATTATGAAACAGGAATGTTTCTTTAAGTCTTTAATTCAATAAAAGGACTGAGATGATACAAAGTGGTGAACTAAAGTTAATGTGGGTGTTGGCTAAGATCAGGTGCTTGAAAATCAATTGTATGGAAGTTAACTAGCACCAACCAATGGAAACGAATAATGATAGATGAGAGGGAAAATCTCTTAAGATTCCAAGTATACTTTGTGACAAGGAGATAAACTCCATTGCCTAATTCCTGGAGGCCATTCCACCACTTCGCACTGTCTGGTATTCCTATTCAGAGCCAGAGGATTTTGTAGGGAAACATGACATTGGTGCTACTTTTACCAATGAAATTGACACCAAATATGCTTCATTCAATTTTTTCCCATCCAGAAATACCTAATAAATATATTTCCTTTAATAAGTGATTTTTATGTTTGCATTTATATTTTCTTTTATATCAATCACTCTTTGAGTAAGAATCACTGTTAATAATGGTTCATGTATAATAACCAATTGAGTTCTCAGCTTTCCGAAGTAAGGATTGATGATATTTGCATTTCACAGATGAGGAAATGTATGACAAAAACAGGTTAAAAGATGCACCGAATTATATTCCAGTCAGTGGCTAATTCTGGATGGAATCCATGTTGTCTAGCTGCAAAGATAAGTTTCTTAACCACAGCACTAACAGGGTTGGTTATTTCTGTCCTTCAGCTACTCGGCATCTGTGCTTATTTTGTTAGTAGTATTTTAAATGGTTCTACTTCATACCTAATTTTGCTTATGATAAGTTTCTATTATATCTATCACTTTTATTTCATAGGTGAATATTAGCTATTAATTGATACTTAAATGAACTTTGGGAATGCAGGCTATACCAGATCCAACTTTTGGCCCCTTTTAGCTTTATTTGTTCTTTCTACGGCCCATTTCAAAAACTACACTAGGAAGTTACACATTAATCTAAAGTAAAGCAAGCATGGTTAAAACAATGACTGAAAAGGTAGGCTAATATAAGATAAAGATGAAAGGTTTCATGTTTACCCTTTTGGTACTCAAGTTAAATGCTCACTGATCATAGAATAGCTGAAGGTTGTCTATGTCAACATTTTTTATACATGCTTCCTTTTGTCCTGCTACCATGTTTTTTGTCCCCAAGTGCCTTTGTAAAACCCTGCCATGCTCCAGATGTTATGGAATGCAGATAAGCAAGAGTCAGGATCACTGTCTGCCTGATCTTCCCTGTATGTAAGTCACCCATTAATAAACTCCTTGTTAACCTATATGGAGGTACCTGTTTCGTTTTTTGGTCTCAAATTTCTTTCACAGTCTGGAGGCAATTTTATCTTTCTCTGTCCTCACACAGATCTTTAGATACATTGATTACCACATAATCCTAGGAGAAAAATGATCCAAGAGGAATTGGGACTTATGAAATGATTGCACAATATTGTGGGGAGCTCAGGTATAGAACGTGAAACTGAAAGAAAGAAACCATTTTACAGTAGAGAGCAAAGTATTATTAATTACAGTTTATGCATTTATTTGATTATATTTGGGGGGTTATCTACAGAAATTCTTAATTTAATTTTATTTTAATGTCATGAGTATTGAAATAAACTATGAAAGACATGAAATTAAATCTAGAAGGTATGGAATTGTGTGCATTAAATAAACTGAAATAGAGTTGTAGTGAGTGTAGAAGTGACATTGCCTTTTAAAAGATAAATAGGCTTATTGACATAATTTACAAATCATAAAATTGTTTCATATTTAGTATAGTACTC